CGTAAATAAAAATATACGAAACGGCTTAACCTCGTATGCATTTGCATCGGAAGTATACCATCCATCGTCAACGACACGCGAACGTGTGTAAATATAGACTTGGACGTCTTACAGACACTGCTCAAACACCTGCAACGGTGTTTAGGACTGTTTAGAAAGGGTCCTGCGCTGATCCTTGCGCCGCGGCGATGTGTGGTGATAATATTGTGGTCGCGCGCACGGTTAGGTTTTTTTTCTCTCAAAAACAACACGTTCATCTGCCATGCATTTTGCCATTTTATTAGCTCACGAAGGGCAGCAGCAGCAGCTGCAACCGGCGTGTGCAATATTGTCGTAATACGACGACGTCCACATGTCCCGTCCCCCCACGCACTATATTATTACGCTCCATCGGTCGCCACCACAATAAAACACGTTCCAGCCGTGATTCTTCGCGCATTCTGATGTTTTGTGGAAAACGATTTCATCAATAAATCAAAAATCGGTAGTCGGGGTGTGAAATATACTAATATTTATGTTTCCGCCATACTTGGGCCACTATAATCCCGGTGTCGTGCTATTAGCGGTTCTCAGAATATTAGGACGAGGACGTCTTGTCGGTGATTTTCGATACCGTCGACGTCTATCGACTATAACTTCAAACTTCTTTCGGAGAAACTAGGCCGGGTTTAAAGAGGCCGACGTTGTACCCACATGCCACATGTGTTGTCTCCGCCGTATATTACTAACACAAAGTAACTACTAATTATGAGTATGTTTATTAAAATTTATAAATGCTCCTAATTTGCTTTGAAATTAAAATATTGTACTCTATAATATTGTAAAACCCAAATAAATATTATTTAGCATAGGTATTACACAATATTGGAACTGGTGGTCACTAATTAGCTATACCTATATGGCTATATTGATTCGTAAAACGGAGACGACTAGACGGCGGGTGTGACGTCCACTTAAGGTATTTTGCGCCCGGGGTATGGTATTTTCCTGATTATTGATTTATGATTACCATATTCAATACTTTTATGTACATTAATATGATATTATTCTAATACAAAAAAAAATGTATTTGGTTTAACCCAGTAGTTATAATAGTATAAAATGTATTATGATGTTTAATTTTACACACTTTTAGAAAATTTGAGCCCGTTAACAGCCACCTGCTAACTCTGCTCTCCCTCCCCCATTTCCAATTTATCTGGTCTTGGAATGATACCAACTGATGTAAAAATACTGAGTATAACAGCACTTTCAAACATGTCTAAAATTTCTTTTTTTTTTTTAAATTGTAATCTTCTAAAAAAATAAAATATTTGTACGAATACTTATCACGAAATGTATTTAGTTGAGCGACAATACTTACATTTTCTCTTTGTTCTCTTTCATTTTGATAAAAAAAAACGATTGAGCTCTAAAATCGCACTTTAGAAGCAGACTATCAGTTACGTTCGATCTGTAACAATATCAATATGTACTTATTTTCTATATAATTTCATAATTATATACTCTTACGCAGAAATCAACAACGATAGAAACACTGGACCAACAGTTAACTACTTAGAATTGGCATTTAAATATATTATAATTTTTCTATTTGAATTTTTCTTAAAATTTCGTTGTAATTGTTTCTTTATAAAACAACAGTGTTGTCCTCACTTATTATTTTTATATCCTTGTGACCTTGTTCCCTTGTCGTATGCTTACTAACGTACTGGAACAATAATATTATGGTCGAGAAAGTTCGAGTTTTTAAATAATCATTATTTCCAAAACCATATTTTGTTAGGTACGACGTTCGTATTTCTCACGCCAAATATATCAGGTATTATTTTTGGATTGTACCTGAAATTGAATTTGTTTTGATTTTCAGTACAGAATTTATGTAATACATATAATTATTTTTAACATTATGTAATATAAATTCTGTATTGAAAATCAAAACAAATTAAATGAAATATATATTATTATTTTTTCCATCGACATACCAGAGGGGAATAAATAATGATGTGTTGGTTTTTTTTTCAATCCGATCCGCGTGTTGACTACTCATGAAGTAATTTTATTTTTTTATTTCACATCATTATCTATAATTTTGCTGGCGTAAACGAATAATTCTGTATTTTTGTATTTTCTGCGTGCCTAAATAGTAAATAACCTGTCAAAAACATATAAATTCTATAAATATTAGTAAATTAATCGGTTTTTCGTTCGTTATCTGTTTATAGGCACGGCCAACAAATATGATGACGCTACAACTCGTCTGCGCACATTTCACATTTTTTAACTGATGAGTCTTTTGCTATTATAAATCGAAAATATCATTAATCAAAAGGCTTTCCTCGTTTACATAACACATTTGCGGAAAATTCTAATTTTCCATCTCACTTTTCCAACTTGGTTGGCTCCTACATACTAGGCAGTTATCTATTGTTGTCAGTCATCATTTAACACTATCTGTATATCATTATCAAGAAACGCGTGTCGTGTGTCGGTCCACTACAATTAGTTGACGTACAAACAGCAATAATCTCAACCCAAAACTAGCGAATAAGGCAAACCAATTGGCTCCTACGAGAGCATACAAATGTACAATCATCATTAAACGTATGATATATAATATGTTCAAATTCCAAATGTTTTGAAAACTTGATGAGGCATACCGTGGTGTGGCGTTTGAATGAGAACAATTTTAAATTTGCTAAAATTCGAATTTTTAAGGCTCTTGGGTGTCGCTCTTTTTGTTTAGACACGTCATGAACAAAATGCGTTTTGCGAGTGACTAAAAATTATATGCCTTAACGAATTCTTTGTTCTACCTAATTTCATAGTTTTGTCGGAAGATATGTATTAATAATTAGAGTTCGGGACTTATTGGACTAAAAATTCTTAAAAATATGTAGCTACAATTGTTTTTGTTAGAAAAACCCCATTGTCCAAAAATGTTAAACTTTCAAAAATAATTTAAAATTAATAATGGTTAACGATTTATGAACTAATTACACATAACCTGACTGGCTGACTCAGATATATATTGATAAAAATGACGAAGTAAAAAATTATGTAGATTAATAGGTAGTTTTTTATTCCTAAGTTACCTACACGATGTATCTAGCATCTAAGGTCTTACTCGGATACAAAATAACGATCGTCGCGATACTCAAACGTACTGATTTTTTATTTTTCGTACAATATAGAATTTAGACATATTTTTTTTTTTTAATATTGTACGTTTGTCGATTTATTATTTTATTTATTTATTATGTAATTTATTAATCTACAAAGAGACTTCTAGTAAAGATAAATTATTTTTCCAGCGAACACCAATAATAATTATTGCACCAAAAACAGATTGAATATTAAGTTTGGCGGAGTTCAATTTTACCTTAAAAATATTTAGGAACATTGTTATGTCGAGAAACAATAATTTTTTGACGTTGACTCAATCTGTCCAATAGAAACATAATTTTTTTTTTTCATTAACACATAATGTCATCGAATTGTTTAAATTAGTGTTGTGTTATGTAATTTGTTGGATGTATTTTTTGTTGCAAAAAAGTAGCACACCGATCGCCCAGAAAAAGTTCTTGTCTTTCTAGTTTAAATATTTTGTTTCGTAACTATAATATTTACGACTGCATGTTTACCCACGCCACTTTCCGGCGATAACGCATCAATCAAAAGCGGTAACGTCGCCGGAGAACACTATAATTATTACAATTTGTGGTTCTTCGTTTTTATTGTATATTTTTGTTTCTTTAATGAATATTGTCATTATCTTATGTATTACTTACCATTTTTTTTTCGTTACCTATTGTTAAATATAGACGCGCTTGATATTATTAGACTTAATTTTTTTTTCGTTTACATGGTTTTAACTATTAACATCTTTCTTAATAACAATATAAATTCACCCTGCCACATTAGTCAATAACAAAATATTGTCAATATGTAGTCGTGCCACTATGACACAAATAAAACACTGTTTCGTGCTGTGTTATTTCCCGTATCTACTTACAGCAATAATTTCAATAATAAGAAAACATTTGATATTCTCATAAATTCATACGAATAATCTCGGACAAAACCCTTACAAGTAATTAAGAATTAAATTCTTTGTTCTTTTTTAATCCTAAATAAAACGTTTAAAACAAATTCACTTTTTTAAACATGTGTTTACAACACTGCAACCCTGCAACGCACCGTATAGGCAGCTAAACGTATAAAAATACTTATTATTGCATACATGAAACTCCTTAAAAGATCCAGACAAACAAAACCATGTAACATGTACCATGGTCAACAAAATGTACTGTTCTAAATTTGACGCTCGTATTCATTCTAAATATTTTTATTTTGTTTAACAAAAACAGTTTTTCGCGTGTTTATACCAAAGTCAAAGAATCTAATAGAATTGTTGTAAAATTACCAAATTTTAACAGTTTATAGAGTAGAATCTAATTTTTAATAATTTATTGAAGAATACAAAAAATAAATCTTAACTTAAGCTTACTGCATAGACAATATTTTCTTTTATATGTCAATACAAATTTGGTGTTTTTAGCATTATAAACAGCTTCTTACAGTTTTTACAATACAAATTAAGGGAGGGTCTTATTAATTTTTTTGTATTGTACATGAAAACATGTTTTCCATATCAAAGTAACATATGGACATACGGTACATATTGTTGACATGATAATACTTTAAATATTCTAAAATTAATCATCAATATGATATATAAAATGATGTATAAAATTAAGGAAATTTGTGTAAAAAAATTATTCTTCTATATGTGTATCTTTGTTTAGTTTTAATTATGATTTAAAACTGTCAGTGAAATATTTGTCGTTATTTATTTATAATTTGAAACAGCCGTCATGTTTGTGTACCGGTTTGATTTAAATATAGTTTTTCTATTTTATATCGTATATCATAAATAAATGAAAATTAATTTTAGTGAATAAATTTTCGGTCATTAATTGAGAACTCTGTTTTTTCAGGCTTTAAACGATTTGTCATTCGAGTTGGTTTATGTCGGACGGTGAGAAAAGATAAAAGGATCCAAAAAAAGCAACCATGTTGAAACACGTGCACCGAGCAAAATGTGCCGACACACTTAGCATTGTGTCTACAGCAAGTTCTTTCAACCACGAGCCAATGTCTAGTAGATGTTCAAGTATAACTTCGTTGAACATTTCAAATCCAGTTGTAAGTTTTTAGACGCTTTATTTTATCTATATATTTTGAAAAAACCTATTTTTAATTGCAATTTTTGAAAATGATTTTTTAAATTAAACTTTGCAATCCCAAAATTAAAGTTTCATAACTTAAAAACTACTTGTTCAAATTTCGAATATATATTTTATTGTTATTTATTTATGTTTTATCTTTTATAATTTATAAATCCTTTTTACTGCATTATCTAAAAATACAATTTCCAACCCTATAATTCAGTCTTATATTATGCATTTACTTACACACGATGTGTATTTTATTTGAATTCAACACCCCTAACTCCGTAAAAGATAAATATTATAGTTAGGTAACTAATTAATAATATATATTTTACTCGGGCTGAATTTGTTATTTCATAACTTTACGGATAACGCTTATTTACGGTCTTCCGAAATTATCAATACGATAATAATACAATATAATATTATAGGATACAATCAAAGTGTACACTAAGTGTTTGCGTGCAGACCTCGAGTACAAGACACTCGGGCTGGCTTATACGACGACTTGCAGTGAAGTGATATCCATTCTGCTCAACAAATACCGAATGCGTCACAGGGACCCGAATTTGTTTTACATGACTATGGAAATAAATCTCAGGAAAATAGGTAAGTTAATGCAGCCGTGATATTGGCTATAAGTAAATAACACGTTTAAATCATTACAATTATTTACGTAAAATATTATCATTGCACGGCAAAAATATTGGTTGGTACAACTAAATTTATAATTACTCCAACCAAAAATGACAGTTATATATGGCAACGAGATCATATTTTGTTTGTGTTTATTCAGGACTCAGAACTGTATTCGTCTTGGACGACGAATCGTGTCCTGCCGTGTTGCAGTCATGCCACCCCAGAGGAGAATCGAGGTGAGTTATATATTATTATTATTTATTCAGATATGGTTAATATATCATTGTTAATTATTATCGTTATCCAATTTTGGTTTGATACTTTCGTATATTATGGTCTCAAACGTTGTCATTATGTACAATTTTTGATGTTTGTGTTATTTGCGTCTTCATAAAACTTTTCATTCGCACGAAATCTTTTTTCTTTGCCATTTTCAATGCATTATTTCTGATATATTTTCTAAATCATAGGATGTAAAACCCATTGATCGATATTGTTGTTTACGTAACTCAACACATTACTGATGCAAATAGGGGGGGGGGCTGAGTCCGCCTAAATGTTGTCCCCATTCAAAAGTCAGCACTTTGTATTAAGCATAAATCATTTTTAGAAAATATTTTAGGAGGGGAGGGGGCTTTGGTCTCCCCCAGAAAATTAGCCTATTTGCGCCTATGCCACACATTATCGTTAGTTGGATATTTATTTATATTTTTAATCAACTACCAAATTTAACTCACGTTATATTATTCGTTTAAGGTTTTGCTTGCAATCCAAAAAAGGTGGCCTTGTGAAAGTTTATGACGCCGAACTGATGCCAGGGGTAAGTGTTACTGTTATTCTTGCATCGAACTTTGAACTTATCCGTATTAATGATTTTGTTTATTTTCATCAGTCCAAGTATAAGAGCTTATTGATCTCTGAACGCACGACTGTCGACGAGCTGATCAGAATATTGCTCAACTGTTATAACAGCAAAGAGCAAGTTGAACAATTTTCTTTGTACGAGGTAAATACATAAAAAAAAGCATAACCATTACGCGTTCGAGATTTGACGACGAATATTAATTATCATGAAATATTATTAATTATGATTTCATTATTTTGCATCAGTTATCGAAATCCGAAGAATACCAACGCAAACTTCACCACGATGACGTGCCTTTGAACGTGCAATGCTGTTGGCCGCCAAATAGCGACTACATTTTCATCATCAAAAGGAATCCGAATTATAAGTCTAAACAGGTGAGCTAAGAATATCAATTTTTTGATTGTGTATTACCTGAACATTATAAAAGGAATAAGGTATGTTTATCGTTAGGTACAACGGATAACTACTAATCGGTATATAATCGTACTGTTTACTTGCATTTAAATAGTCTGCCGATGCCGCTGAACAATAATAATAACAATTTAAATAAATGTTTGTTTAAAAATTATATGCAATTTAGTTAATTAAATAGTTAGATTCAATAACACTTTGTACGAATGGGGTATTAAAGACATTCCAAATTTTCCTGTTTTACAAAATATATTCTTCCTTCCAAAATTTCATTAATTTTATGGAATTATCCATATTTGTATTATTTACTGAGAAGCACGAGTTGTGACAAGGGAGTCACTGTGTGATTAGGCCACATAATATATTTTCCTACTTATTAATGTCATTGCAACTGTGTGTACACGTGCACAGTTTTGTACATCCAGTGCTCGAATTAAGAATAATTAGAAGGGGATGCATAACTATAAAAACAAAGTGTACTTAAATATTTGATTGTCTTTATGATTGTAGTAAAATTAGAGGGGTATGCATGAATATTTTTTTTTTTTAAAGACAGGACTCCATCCCTCTGTGTTTCTCCACAATTCAAGGGTATACAAGAGTATACAGTGTACATTAATATTGCGGCATGTAAAATTGTATTTGTATGTAATATAATACATTTTTTTGTAAGCCTATCCCCTTATTGAGTTCCCTTTAGTTACGCTGATTCTATACACCTAGAGCCATTGCGTAAAACAATATTTATTATTCTCAAGTGTAATGTAGAGCAATAAATGTGATTATTTAAAATTGTCAATAATATTATAAACTAATAGTTTTTCCTTCTTGTTATTAGGTGCAGACAGTTTGGACTGACCACCACCATCAGGAAAAAGAACCTTCAACGAACGAATACGAAAATTTTATTTATATATAATAATATTGTCGATGTATCAAACACATCATGTATATATTACAAACTGTAATTATTGTTACCGTGTCCTTATTTGATGTTATATAAAACAGAAGAACTACTTCGTGGCTGTTTTTATACCACCAATCATGTAACGGTTTGCAATTTTTTTCTCGTGCTTTTACAACTTGTAAGTTTTTAAGCATAGCGATGTGTGTACAAAATATCTATTACTTTTTTACTTATTAAATAAATGTCTATTTGGTAGGTTTTAAAAATAAGTGTCTATGTGGTAGTGTAATATAATGTCTGAACTAAGGAGCTATGACACATTAGTAGTGTGTAGAAGTAATTTTTATAAATGGGTCTCAAATTTGTGAAAAGTTGAAAAATGCTCGGTTTTTTTGTTGTTGCTTGCTAAATGTCTATAAAAAACTCTCGTATACATTTAGATTGTGACTAAAAATAAAATGTGTATTGTGTAATATGTCTATCCTTGAGGCTTGAGTATGATAACAGTGTGTAACGTGTGTCAACAAATTATTTTATTAACGCTAATAAGTACAAACCAATCTATGTAATGATTTTGTGCTATTAGACCATTATTAAAACGATTATTATTTTAACCGTCAAAATTTGTTATCAACAGGAAGATGAATTGATGCCATGATTTCATTCTTAAATTTTACTCGATGGATGCCTGTTTAAATTATATTTTAGTCATTGATTAATGCATCCAACTAAAATCGAGCATGCTCTTCTTTTTAATTTTTTTTTTTTTATCGTTATATTGTATATTTTTCTTTTTTTTTTTAAATACATACATTGTTGTTTTTGAACAATGACCGACTATTATAAGTTATTGTTTTGAGAATTATTTTAGAAAAGTATTTTTTTTGTGTTTGTTAGATTTATAGCTTATTTAAACATTGAAAAAAAAAGCACTGTGTGTAATTTTAAATTGTTAAAATTAATTGATAGAATCACAATATGAACTGTAAATTTGTTTTATGTCAAAGTAATTTATCCATATCTGTACCTATATTAAACTTTTTTTGATAAAAATGCTACTTTTTTGTTGAGCTTTTCTAATCTTAAATCTGTATGTTTTGTTAATAATACTTAAATTCATTGATGAACCAATGATGTATGTATGTCAATTTAATTTGTCATACAATATTGTGGAATAATAGTCACTTGTCTAGCTGTTAGTTTGGGTGCATAAGTTATGGATACCATATTTATCATTGGCACTTAGGTAAAATGATTTGTTGTTCAAATTAAATTAATTAATTTAGTACTGAGAGTTCATTTTATGAGGCATAATATGTTAAGTCGGACCACGACTTATGCCAGAAAATAATATTTTAATACAAAATGAATATACCGATAGCATCACTATAATCAGTTGGGTATAACATTTTATCAAATTAAACTATATAATGATGAAACTTTGATTTACATTAATGTAGGTAACTCTAATGTTACAAAATAAATATTATCGAATTGAAATAGTGATTACACTGCTGATAAATTGTATATGATAATAATGGTATTAACAGATACATTTCAAATGGCATATTTAAAGTATTATTCTCTGACATAAGTTAATGAAAGGTAGGACATACAAGCTGTAGATGCTCACTAAGATGAACTAGGACTACTGGTATATTTCATGTGTTTTTTTTTTTAAATTTATACATATTATAGTAATTTTTAATTTTTTCTTATGCTATTTTTCAAAGTTATCAAGTCATGTACAACAATAAAATATGCATTAATGTTAAATATTTAAGTACAGTAGTCTCGAAAAAAATATGAGTTATCGAGACTTGATTGTATACTAATATAATATGATTTTCATCACTCATCAAAACCAAACTGTAAGGTAGTAATTCTGAATAATGTGTGTACACTGTACTTAGACTATAAATTACGTTATATGAGTATACAACTAATGAGATAAATGTATGTTTCTATTTGTCAATAATGTTGTTTAAGAATAAATGTTTAAAAGTGCATTTTGGTAATTGGTTTTGAACATTGTATTTCCTTACGATTATGAATTGTGTTAGAATTAAGTCTGTAGTTGAACCATATTAGATTTTTTTGTATGCAGCATATTATTTAAGTTAATCACCTTAAGTGGACTTTACATGCCATTCAAAAAAATTATAAATTGTTATAAAAAAATGTTTATTTTACATTTGATGTGGTGCTTGTAATCAGGAACAATTTTTATGACTCAGCATTAAAATTTTTCATTATTTAATAAAATAGTTAGTTTATTTAATGTAAATTAACAATGTCAATTACCTTTTAAATAGTTTTTATAATTTACATTTTAAACTTTGAGGGTAAAATGTAATTTGTTCTGTTTGCTATAAGATACTTAAAACTGTCTAAACGATATTGTGTATTGCACTTTGTACTTTTTACAAAATAAACATAAGTCATAGATTATTAATGTTATTTGCCAAAGATTATGTATTATTAATAACAAATAAAAAACATACTTGAAGCATTCAATACAAACTAAAAATAATTTGTATTTCATTTTTGTGAAATGGAATGTATGACATCATATATATTATTATTTAATATCTTGCTATCCCATCAATGATGAATGATAATGACGTTACAATAATGATATTATAATATTATTTTATTTTGATGATACTCATGAACATAATAAAACCCATTGTTTTGCAAGACAATCAGAAATAACTAGTAATTAATGGATAAAAGTACAACATTTTCATATGCTAAACTAATCAGTAAGGTAAATAAATAATGAAGAACCTGTACAAAATAAAATTTATAGTATTACCCTTGTGTATTTTAGAATGCATATTTTTTTTCAGGCCATTTTCAACCTTTTAAAGCTTTTGCTTAAAACAATTGAAAGTTTCTTTTTTGTACATCATTTTGTTATTGTACCAAACCCAACGCCAACTTGATAAATTATATTTTGAAAATTAATCTAACTTCCAATTAGTTTTTCAATCATAGTAAGTACTCCATCGTTGGAACACTTATACTAAAATGTACAGTTTATGAATTAAAATTGTAACAGATTTAGTAAGACTTTAATACAATCGCTATCAATAACCAGTAAACTTACTGTTAAAATTCCTGATTCCTGTCCATGTAACACTGAACCCTTTTTTTACCTTCTCAAGGAATCTAGAAAGAAGAAAGTGATTTGAGAAATTGTTTTGTATAAAATATGGAAATAATGTATTCATTATATGCATGTATAAGAAATAATCTCGAGGAACAATAGAACTTTTGTACAATAACAATAAAAAAATTATATAGTAATAAATAATAATAATAGTTTGCTAGTACTTACTATGCAAGTAAATATCTATAATCTATATTATATAATACTATATAGTATATGTTGTAGACCATTGTATCATTTTGTTTGTCGGTATTTCTTTAAATTCGTTAAACGTTTGTTAGAGATACTTAAATTTTTTTTTTAAATCATGTTAAGACATTCATTTTTGGTGAAGTTTCGAAACATTAGAGACAAATCGCTTATAAGGAGCTTAATATAGGCAATTTCTTAAACGTATATCGTATAAAACATAAATGTGCGATCAACGGTCCTCGGATTTCATTGCATTTTCATCCTTTTTATTTGAAAAAGCTAACACGATTTTTCAAGTTACCAATGTGTTTGATTTTGTGGAATTTTTGACTTTTTAGTTATATTTTTTAATTTCTTAAGACAATTTTGACCTATTTCTCATATTATTATGAATAAAAAAAATTGATTTCCTTGAAATATAAACTTAGTACTACACTACTACCTAGTATAAATCATTTCATTTTAAACTATGCAACATCACTACATCAGCCATCAGGTAATCTGGTTTTAGACAATGCTGACATTTATCTTTTATTTTCATTTATTCTTTTTTTCTTAAGGCTTGTATCGGTACACCGGGCAAATGTACGATGCACTCTATGAAAATTATGATGCATAATGCGTGTCCTCCCCCTCCCACCATGCAAATTACGTCTACATTTAGATTTTTAAAGTAATTTCTGTAAAAACTGTGGTTTATATAGTTTAAAGTCTTAAACCTGGGCACTTACGTAATCTATTAATACTTAGCATAAAAATAGATAGTGTGTATTATGAGACATGAGTTATAATTTATAATATATACGTTACACCGTACACATGGTTATATTAAATATAATAACAACTATATGTTTCTTCTGGATATAAATGGTTTTTATTTTTGTTTGTTCTTTTCCCGAAATGACGTCGTCGAACGTCGATAACAATAATAAACCACAATATTATATACCTACTATAATATAATATAGTATATTATTGTTGTTAGTTGAAACTACTCTAAACATTATCTCTTTTCGGCGGATAGAGATATTATAATTTATAACTTCATATTAGGTACGTAAGTAGTAAGTAAAATAACTTGTTATATTTACCGAGGTAAAATATGTACATATTTTTTCCCTAATAATTGCATTATACAATCATTACTATCGTAGCATTTAACATCAAAAAAATAAAAAGCTGTGAAAGATTACATTCTTTATCATTAAAAAAAAATGCGAGTGTACAACACGAAAAGAGTACAGACGCTACAGCAGTACAGCCATATTGTCTGGTTGATTTGATATTTTACTTTTAGCGTTTCGAGCAACTCCGCACTCGTTGGACGACGACGATTTGTGCGAAAAAATTATCATCCGTTTTCAACGGTCGTGGGGGAGAACGTGCGTGGCGATCTCGTGTCGTTTTTGAAATTCAGTCGCAACCCCGTCGGACATGGTTTGACTGATTGCCGGATGCATCACTGGTGCAGCTGATCGATGATACAAAATTACATCTTTACTGCGTTATTTTACGGAAGAGTAGTTATTATTCGTTGTAATAAAATTGGATTATTCTTTATCTAATCGTCGACTGACTGGTCGTCGTTTTTCTAATACGTCTGTTTCAGTCATTGTACTCGTCCGTGTGTATTTCACAGACCACTACGCCGGTTCGTCGGGCGAAGCGACCATTTTCTATAACCCGTTCAAGTGTTATTTAATAGTAATAATTGCGATTTCAATAACTATCAAGATCTAGATCTTTCAGTTGTCTCTATCGTCGGCTGCGATCCAAACGCTTGTTGTCAGCTATTAGGTGAGTGACCTTATTCTTAACCCGTTGCTGTGGTCGTAACAACTGCACTCAATTAATGTCTATTAAATATATATTTTCACACCCAAGTTTATATGACTTAACACGCCTTTTAATCAAGTAAATTTAATTAATTGTCTATGATTGAAAATTCGCTTGTAAAACCATTCACAGGAAAAGGTAAAACCAAAGTTTGATACTCATACTATTGAGGTTATATCAACAAATATGTGACTAATCACATTAACTTAACTTAGAGTACCTAGGTATTTTCTATTGTCATTTGATTACTTTTTTTGATCAGATTTTGTAAATGTGGTCTTAAATATCTGTTTATATTAACACAATTTAAATGTATGGATAAAACTAAATCATTTGTATCTTAAATTTATATTGTGCCATAGTCAATTAGACCAAAATGCGATTTTCAGGGTATTATACTCCAAAGCAAAAAGTGACAGAATAATTTGTTGATAAATGTAATTTCTTATTGGTTAATATTATTCTATTAGTAGATTTTAAATATTATTTGGTCTATTATTTGATTAATAATAATAAAGCTATTGTAAGTAAAATTGATCGACATTGAAATGTTTTCTATGACAGTAATATCACTAACTATTTGCGCCTTCAGTTCAAATATTTTGACCAGCGTCTTGAATGTTATCCATAAATATTATCCAACAAGTTTTAATTTTTCAAATGAATTTAGTCACAATTGCGTTTCTTTAAAAATGAATAAATTTATATAGTCGTTCAATGTATTCAATTGTTTGTTTAAGTTTTCCACTCATTAGTCATTACATTATTTATTTCATCATTACCATTGTATGTTAATTAATAAAGTACGGCTTTTTAGGCTTTTGATTTTTTTTCTATTGCTCTTAAACGAAGCTATGTCAGGTATAAATTGTATTTATGTTTGATTTAATTTATCAATAAAAGTAGGTACCTGTTTTGTCATTTCTCGACAACTTTTTGTGGTGAGTCATTTTTTTGGTATTGTAGAGCTTATTTGCTTTATTTAAAGTGCTTTTCTTTAGTTAACTTTTGCTTCAAAATTCATACTGTATTAGTTAGAATGATTTAACAGTTTTTTCATATCTATTTCTTGAAGTTAATATCTACATGCTACAGTCTATACCTACCTATGAAAAAGAGATCAAATTTGTTTTTTAGCTAAACTTTGGTAGTTTTTAACACATTTTGTAATGAACTTATACTTAACTACCTATAGAAACCAAAAAGATTGTTAAAAAAAATTTAAGCAAAAAATTGACAACGTTTGAAATTCATTGAAAATATACATTTTTTTCAAGTCTAAGTTCCAATTAATAAAAATGTGTGACATTTTCGATTTATTTTTAAAATAGTAAACACATTAAATGCTTTTTTTTCTGAACACAGATTTGGACCTATAAAATGTTAATATTTAATACTTAAATTACAATAGGCAGTGGCGCAACTATTGGTATGTCAGAGAGGCTGTAGCCTCCACCTGATATTACATGTAAAGTAACCCGTGGGGTTGTTGCCTCCATACTCCCCATATATATCGACTAAAAATATAAAAAAATTATACAAAAAAAAACACAAATATTTATTTACTTATGTTTCATTATTTACAATATTAATGTACTGTGTGTATATTATAGTTCAGTACATCAGCGTTTACCAAAGTGTGTTCCACGGAACCTTAGGGTTCCGAGGGTTCCGTGGGACAATGTCAAGGGTTCCGTTAGATGTATGAGTTTATTAAGAAAATTATGTTTATTTAATGTTTGTTGTTTAAAAAATGTTTGATTGACAATTTTTTTTGAAACTAAGTTTAATAATGAAAAGTCATTAACAGTATCATTAAAATATTATTTAGACTTGAGAGTTTAAGGAATTGATTTTCCTTTTTTTAATTCACAAAAATTGTAGTTGAGTTGTATTAGACATTAGGGTTCCGTGAAACACAAACAATTTTTTAAGGGTGCCGTGGTCGTAAAAGTTTGGGAACCGCTGCAGTACATAATATACTGCTAAATTGTGTATAGTAATCGTACTAATGTACCGACATAAATTGTTTCCTTAAAAACTGATACAGGCGTACAGACAATAATATTTACCATATGAATCATAGGTAAAATAAAGTTAAAATAAAATAATTTCATTTTTTCCAAAAAAAAAAATAAGAATGACAGTTGAATTTTAAAATGTTTATTAATATTTTAGGAAACAATTGAATCATTTTTTTTTGAGGGGGGGCTAATGAGCCTCCCCCCCCCATTAGTTTATCTTATTACGTTAGGTAATCAAAACTTGTTTGTTTTAAAATTCTAATACAATTTTTAAACAATATTTTTAATCTTCAATATTTAATTGAGTTTAATATGTAATATTTTGTATGTATGTTTTAACTTTATTTTGCTTATTTTTTAGGCCCAAAACAAATATAATAAGGATATTCAAAATAAATTCAAGATGGCACCCAAATCATTACAAGTTCAAAATCGAAACAAGTCTTCTAAGAATAATATCTTTATCAAAAAACTTAATCATGCTTTGGTAATCAATAATAATTTACGTAAGCGTATTGAAGAGTTATCGGAACAAAATAAACAATTATCTACTACAAGAAATAACTTGTCATTGGAGAAAATGTCATTGCAAACTGAAAATAACTCTATTAAAAATTCAAATGTTCAACTAACGGCAATGCATCATATAATGAATAAAAAAATTAATGCATTAGAACAAACTATTCAAAGCTGTATACCTGCATTGGTAACTATGTCTCAATGTATCCCATCTATGTTAGAAAGTGTACACGAAATGAGTAAGTTTGAGATCAAAGACTTTACCAAGGAAAAGAAAGAAAAACAGACAAAAACTGTTAGACCTATGATTAATGGTCATACTATCACTCAGCCAGCTGTTTCAATAAGAAGATTTGATATGTCGCCTATCATTGAAAGTCCTAGTACTGAACAAACGCGGCGTAGTACTGAGCAAACTCCAAAAAGACCAAGAAAACTGAGTTATAGAAGTTCACCACAATGCAAACTTAATATGGAACCATATGTAAGATTAAAAGATGTTGCAGCCATGTTAAAAAACTCTAAAGCTGTTCCTAATGAAGAAGGTTCTCAACGTCGATTGAATGAAAATTTAGGTGAAGGTCCTAGTTGGTTGCATACTCCAGAAAATCAAACACAGAATTCTAACAATAGTACAAATGCAATACAAACTGTTGAAAGTTCTCCTAGATCAACTACAGTCAATGAAAGTCAGGCTGATGTGACAACAATTGCTTCTACTTCAAGTGTTAATGCGGATAATACATTAAATGGAACTGAAGAACGTCACAGTGATTCGGTAATTTCTATTGATTCAAGTATGATGAGAAACGTAACATGTCGAAGACGTACTAAACGGTCAAGTGATTCAAGCGGTACATCTGATTTTGATGATTCAACTTCTTCATCAAGACCTAGTAGATCTGCATCAAAAAATATCAACTATAAAGAAAAGAGCCTGGGCAATAAACTCAGAAGGTAATTTTAAGTATCATAAAACCTATTAAGAAATTGTTTATGATATTTAATTGTGTGTTTTATACTATTGTATGTAATTTTTTGTTATTAGTTAACAACAAATATTTTCAAACTAATTTTGATATAGTATATGTTTTAAATGTAATCTTTATAATATGTATATATTTTTTTTTCTAAAGGAAGTTTATATAATATAAATCAGTTTCACAAATATTAAGAGCATTGAAATAGTTTAGAAGATAATTATGTATTTAAAGTATCATAAAACCGATTAAAAAATTGTATATGGTTTTAATCGTGTGCATTAAACTTAATATGTAACTCACTATTATGTGTAATTTTTCAGATTTTATTGGGTAATCAATAGTTTTTATTTTTGACTTATTATGATTTGGTATAAGTTTTTTTAATTGTAAACTTCATATTACTTATATTTTATTTTATTTAAGAAGGTAAATATAATTTAAATCAGTTTATAAATATTAAGTGAATTCTAATAGTTTGCAACCAAAAAAATAACAACTTTAAATAAAAGGGCTTTGGTGGTAACCTTAGAGACTAATTATGTATTCAAAGTATCATAAAACCGATTGAGCAATTGTATTTGTAATTGATTGTATTGTTTGTATTTCACTATTGTGTGTAACTTTTCATAATCAGTAGTAAGCAAACAATAGTTTTTTTTATTTATTATGATATATTGTATGTTTCCAATTGTAAATTTAATGAAATTTCTATTTTTTTAACTATTTAGGTGCAGACCTACCTTATATGTACATTTTATTTTATTAAAATAAGTTAATATGAAGTTAATATAATTCAAATCAGCCATACAATTATTTATGCAACAAGGGTTAAATAATAAATCATTAGAATTTAATGAAGTGTAATATTCAACAATTTTTTTTCGAATTTAATAAAGTGTAATATTCAAGAATATTGTTGATTTTAATAGTTATATAATATAATATGTATATCACTATGTTCTTGAGTACTTTTCATTTCAGATAAATTACTTAAGTAAATAAATAAGAATTAGAAAAGTTTTAAGTTTTTAATAAATGTTATAATGAATGTAAAATTATTAACGCATTAATATGATTACATAAATATTCATTGAATTTTGTTTAAATAGTTTAGCATAAGTGTGCAATGTATTGGTCATAATATAATGTTTCTTTTTTTGTTCTTATTTTGGTATTTTTTTTTTTACTCTTCCATGTATCAACATTTTTATTTTTTTTTAAAAATATTTATGGCTTGCATTTTTAATATGACTATACCTACATCTTAAACTTAATTATGTAACCTAATGTGGTTCGTGTCTAAGATTGCCTATCAATCTTTGATCGCTTATAGTTTAGGCTTTTCTCTATTATAAGTGCTAACTGAGATGCAAGATGGTTATGTTACGTAATGTTGAAAACCCTATCAAGAAGTTTTATTTCTAAAATGACCTATCTGATAATTAAAATATATTATTCCTGAAAGTTGTAAAAAGTGAGATTGGCACTTTTAGACTTAAGCCATAGCATTCATCAAGTTCAGCTTTGTATTTAAGTTTTCAAAAAAGTATTTGTGGCAAATTGTATAAACTATATTAACTCACATTACTTAATTTTAAATATTAGTAAATGTTTGAGGGTATTTATAACTAAATTAAAATTATTTACAAGATAGTAGTTTAAAATATTTATGAATTGTAATACTATATGGAATTATAGTTTTGCTTGTAGTTATACTTACTTTATTATATATTATATCTAATATTTATTAATTTACTATACATATATATATATTCAAATTTAAGATAATTATCAAGATTATAATATTTATAGACCTATTACATTTACATTAACAATTAGAAAGTTATTTGAAAAATATATTAAAAATAAGTTTAAGGAATATCTTGATAATTTTTTTTTAGTAGTAATCAGTATGGTTTTAGGAAAGGGCCTTCTAGTAATCATGTCATACTGCTATTTTTACTGTAGCAAATTACGTCATAGGTTATTTAAGGAATTTGCATTTTTTCTTGAAAATCCAAGTCTCTTTGCTTCAGCAAATAGACTGCAATTTTTCTAGTCGTTTTGCATAAAGACCAACGAAAGTTAAGCTTTTTAGAAATACTATTTTTAAAATATGAACATGCATGGAGTGAACATTGCAAGACACACATTATTTGTTGCATTTTGTATTGTTATATTTTATATATCTTATTATAATATGATGATATATTAATTATACTATGATACATTATAATAATAACTATAATTTATAATCTTTAATACCTATCTTTGTTTTTAAAAACTATTTTTCATGGTATCTAGATTTGTGAAATTCCTTTTTTTTTAATGATATTAATTAACTATCAATATAATATAGTATAACCATTGATTATACATAAAGTACTATGTATGATATAACTAATAGCATGATCTATCTAATAATACATCAAAAGATAAATTATTAAAATATTTGTGAAAAAAATAATTTGTAATAAATAAAAATAATATTAAAATTTTTATAGTAGTGTTAAAGATAATTTAATGTACATAATGTATATATATATTTATGTATATTATGATATAATAAATAATGTGTATACATGTCTTACAATGTGCATTCCATAATTTTTTCATCTAAAGTGTCTAACTGTCGTTTGTGTCTATAATGACTATCTATATGCAAAGGACCTAGAAAATTGCAGGCTATATGGAGGAAAAAATGAAAAATTTGAAACATGCTAGTATGCTACCACTTAACAAAGAGTTTAGAAGTGTTGTAAAAGACTAATTTCTCAATTAGCCTATGACACATATTTAAAAATATTAACACCCATTTAATGTTAAAAATTAGGTTTTTGGAATATTCATTAGTTATAATATTGTTTAATTAGTAGGTAATGATATTTTTAAAGATTATTATCTGACTAATTTGGATACTTTGTATTAGGTACAAAAATGTTTGTTTTTTTATGTTTAACTAAAAGGAATTATTTGAGTACTTAGTATAATAGTATGTATACTTAAATGCTACATTAATTTTGCTTTAAGCAGTAATTATTATCACTTTAAATATTAGATCAATGATGTAAAATTTGATGGTTTTCTGATTAAATAATATTTAAGTTAACACTTCCTACACTGCATTAATTTTTTAAAGTTTTGAATGCGTGTATTATGTGTACAGTTATTATTATACATAGTCACAATAGGTACTTTTAATCTTAATCAGATTTAATTTAAAAAAAATTACTTTTTAAATAAATTTGAAACATATGCTGCTACCTAACAATAACATTTTAAGGAAAATAATTGACAACTAGTTTAGACAAATAATTAATTAAGTAATTATCAATAGGTTATTGTTGGTTTTAATTGAAAATATTTTTGGAATTAAATAATGACGCATTGACTTTAATGATGATAAATATTTTTATGTTTCGTTTAGTTCTAGTACATGATGTACCTTGAACTTTGTTTTATATAAAAAATATAAATATTTCGAATAATATTTAAAGGTGTGATGTCAACATTTTGTTATATTATTTTATATCGTAGTAATAGTTATATTCTATTTATTTTAATATTATGATATCTAAAATAATTCCCTATCCCCAATTTAAGTCACATACGCATACAGGAGAAAAGTTAAGCAAATCTATAGACTGTAGTCACTAGTCGATGAGGCTTGGGCGTAGCGTGTTTTAAGGAGTAATATTTAGGCAACTCATATGACATGTACTATTTGGGCTGTATCAACCTGTGTCGTGGACTCGTGTGTAATCCTTTGTCGCTTTATAGTTTATTCTCTCAGGCGCGAACCCACTTGCCAATAAGAACCTCAGAACCTAGTTAACCTGGTAATCTAGTACTAAATGTAGAGTTTAATAAGTGTGTTCTAAAAATGTTCATGTCATAAATCATAATGATAAAAAAGAATTTAGTAATTTTTACAGTTAAAATAAAAAAAAAATTGTTTTTATTAATACAATAATAATTATTTGAATTTCTTTTTGGAGATTTGATAGATCCAAGGTTTTTATCATATTATCAAAATTTATAGTTTTTGTCATTCTTCTTTCCAATGATATTTTACAGTATAGCATCTTTATAGATCTTTGATCCACGATTGAACGATGAAGTTAAATTATGTTTCCCCAGATGTCATAGTTATAGGAAAATATATGACTTATAGTCTATGATCAATATCTAAATTTTAATATACTGATTCAAAATCTGTTAGTTTTTTTGCCATTTAGTATGCCATTTAGGATGTTTATTAGGTATTTAGTAATAACTAATAAGTTACCATTTTAAAATTCTGTAGGGGAGAACGGGGCAGATTGAAATGTGGAGTATTGGAGTACATTTGAATTATACTAATATATTTTGTTAGCAGTTACATAAATTTAAGCAAAAATTAATTTAGTATGGGTACACTGCTTTTCATATTATATTGACATATCAGACATTTTCGATAAATTTTGTAGTAAACAAAAATTATAATAAGTCTTAGGAAGTCTAAAAATAAATAATAATCTTGTTTCCCGTAAGATATTGTTGGATATAAAGTACACAAATCGAAAGTATTTGTATACAATTTATAGTTATCCTATATGCTGTTGCTTCGTAATTTTTTTACTGTAGGCACATCCTTTATTTACAATTATTAAAATTTATAAAACGCTGTTAATAAAATTGGCATGGGGTAAATTTGAATATTGTTTAAGTGGATTCGATACCGTAATTTGTTGTCTTTATCTACCAAACGAGCGACCAAGGCTGCTCCAGAGACATAGGGGGGGGGGAGGGTTGGCTAAGTCATAATTTTCAGAAAACTTCCGATATTATAATAGGTTTTTTTTAAATTTTGTTTTTGACAGTATACAATTTTTAGAAATACAGCCTTGTACCACTAGGCCTCCCTCCTGTACATAGGATTTTAGATTCTACGATGATGTGATTCGCCACTGATTGATAGAGTGAAGCGATAAGAATTCTGAAAACAGATTTTAACTTTTCATCAAGGTTACTTGAGATCGACTTTCCCACATTTTTGATTTTAATTTCTCCATAAATGGAAGTACGGAAATTTTTTAATTAGGCACTCTTTCTTAATATAACGTTTTTAGGAATTTTTTTTTTGGGTGGGGGAGGGAGATAATATCCAAAACGTGGGAAAGTCGATCAAATTTGACGACATATTCAAATTTGTTTTTAGAATTCTTATCACTTCATTAGATCAATTTGCAAGGCTGGACATGTTAACTAATTTTTTTAACTAGTTAAGTTAAGTGATCAATATAGAAAAATGTAAGTTAAGTTAAAAGTTAACTTTATTTTTTTTTAACTTGCAAAAGTTACAAGTTAATTAGAGTAACCTTTTTTACTGCATGTTATTGATGTCATA